AAACTAAAACCTTTAATTAAAGAAATTTGATTACCTAATAATTTTTAGAACCGAATTTTTACCTTATTTTTTTTTCTTCATAAAAACCAGACTTTTACAGTTAGAAGTAGAGTAGTTCTAGAGTCTCTAGTAGTAGAGGAGTTTTCAGAGTCATGGAGTTCAGACTCAGACCTTATTCATAGAGTTGGAATTATACATTTCACAAAATTCGAACTTTTTCCAAATAATCTGAATAGCTCACTGTTTTTTTGTAATTTTTCACAAAATCCGGACCGTATATTTTGAAATTTACAAAATTATGAATACATTTATCACAATTTTACTGCAAAAGTGGAACTTCAACAATATGTCTGAAACAACCCCTGAAATTCAGGAAAGCTTAAAGATGATCTAATGCTTTACCTAAAAAAAGAAAATTAAATCTAAGAAGCTAGGATAATTCCATAACACATTAACAATTTATTGTAGTATTTTTCCTATATATTTGTCTTTATCACACCGACTAATGCTCTTTTCGGTAAGAAAATGTTTTAAAAGAGAAAACATACAAAAACGAACTGTAATGAAGAGAACAAAAAGCTTAAGTTAATCATCCGGAAGTTCCACTTTGGACAGAGGTCTAAATAAGAGGTTCCTTCGAATAAATTCACGCGCCTACCCGTTAACCTGACGCTCCAACGGATTTATTGGCCGTTAACTCCACTTTCATTTGGTCACTTCGGCTTGCTGGACGGGCTGAGAAAAACTAAAAACAGCAAGGCTCTAGAAACAAAACCACGAAGGCCCCTTTAAACGATCTAGCGCATTAGTGTGGCAGGCCTTTTTTTATTTATATTGTTGCTATTTTATTTCATCATTATTATTTTTTAACGACTGGCACCGTTTCAACGATTAACCAAAGGATAAAACTGATGCTTTTTTGCGATGCTTTATTTCTCATTCCTTTTTTTTCTTTTCTTTACTTCTTCTCTCTGGTTCGTAAAATTTACTATCGGGATTCGATGAAGTGTTAAGTCTGATAAGGAAATGTTACACTAAACTAAATAAAGTATTGAATAAAAAAGTGTAAAAAAAAAGACATTTCAAATAACCATTTTATTTTTCCGATTGTAAAGAAAGCTGTGCATGTTAAAAATGCAACACTAATAATTTTATTTTATTTTATATCCGTTGTTGAACAGCAGACCCAAACACTAATAATGGCATTTATAGCCATTATTAGTGACACATTATTAATTGAAGCCCTGTAGAAATTACAAGAAGCTTCAAAATAACCAAGTAAGAAAAATTAAACCATCTACAATAAAAGATGGATTCTCCAACGCCATTGCTAGAGGGGGCTGTAAATCATACGCAATGTACAAAAGGCAATACACAAAAATCCTACAGCATAAGTTTACTTTTACGTAATTTCCACACATGTTACATATTTATAACCAATATTACTACAGGATGTGCTCAAAGTTTGAACCAGATACTTGGAAACCTACATTACATCGACGTTACATGGAATGACGCACAGCCTTAAACACACCAGATGCACTTAGTAATTTAAAATCTTTATCAGCTTCAAAAACTAAGATTAAGAAAGTACGCCGTAATATGTAAAGAATGCAATGAAATACACCGTAGCACTTAATGAATTAGATGGTTGTAGATATGCAACGTCCACCATAAGTCCTGCATTGCTGCCTCAGCATGGCGAGAGCCTGTTCCTATGCGAAATGGGTGAAGTTCGTTGGGTGAGTCCCTTTTACTCCTCTAGGACCACTTAATGAGAGAAGGTTTTTTCCTTATGCCCATTTAAACAATCCAGGCAGAGGAGTAGCGGTGGTTCAGGGAATAGGACAATAGCTTCCCGTTGAAGTGACCCAGGTTTGAATCCCAGCCTTGGTAGGTTGATATGAATTCTGATCCCGGCTCGCACCATCCCCAGTGATGACGCAAAATATCATCAGTGGTAGACGGATCATGGGTTAGAATTCCTTTGCCATTTGGCTTCCTTTGCAATTTGCCATTTGGCCTCTAGGACCACTTAATGACAGAAGGTTTTTTCCTTATGCCCAACTAAACAATCCAGGTAGATGAGTCGCGGTGGTTCAGGGAATAGAGCAATAGCTTCCCGTTGAAGTGACCCAGGTTTGAATCCCAGCGGTGGCAGGTTGATATGAATTCTGATTCCGGCTCGTACCGTACACAGTGCTGACGCAAAATATCCTCAGTGGTAAACGAATCATGGGTTAGAATCCTTTTGCATTAGGCTAACCATGGGAGGTAATCGTGGTTGTTCTCTCCATGTCAAGCAAATGCGAATTAGTTCCATCAAAAAGTCTTCCAAAAATAGTTAGTCTGTCCCAATGCTTGATGCAGGAACTCTCCTGTCTTCTGGATTGGATTCAAAATTATAAGACTACAGATTTGAACATTGACAGACGTAAACTCAGAATCTGGTCAGCTTTTCCACCCCAGCATAATATAAATTTTTAAAAAAATGCAGACAAAGTCATACATCAACCAGTGGATGCCTTCGCAATTAATTTCTTTTTTGAAGCCTTCATCATGATATCAACTTCTCGTGGAGAATGGCCACCGTTCATGTGAGATATGACTGCAACCGGCAGGGGCCGATCTGATCAAGGCTAGAAGCAGATGCACACAGACTGCTCTACTAAGTTCCGCAGCGGGTATTTTCGTGCTCAAAGCCATGTGTCAGGACTTACGATCTTACCTCCCTGAACAAAATGAAATATGACCTCAAGCTGCTCTTGCTTCTATCTTGACCCGCATTGGTTGTCCACATTTTCTCCAAACTTTAAGTGGTTTTTCTTAATTTGAAATAGCACGTATTTATTGACTTGATATAGATATTGCGGTCAAGTGGAATAAAAAACAACAACAGAGGTGTAACATGCAAGGAAGACAATGAAATACACCGAAACAAGTAAGGAATAAGACAGTCATAATATGTAAGGAATACAATCGAAATAACGTTAATTAATTACTTTTTATGTTTCTGTATATTGCGCATAATTTGCAATCCTCTTTAGCGGTTCAGGTCACAGTTTGCTATCTCTCCCTCTGAGATTTTTTATTATTTTTGTATGCCTTATTTAGCCCTTTTATTTCAGCTGCGTTGTATTAAAGCACTGTGTATAAATGAACAGATATAGTCGTGTTATATAGCAAAGAACAATTGTTGTAAATAAATAGTGAAAGATCATCGATATTGTTCGATTTAATAACAAAGAAAAATTAATTCATATTAAAACCAATTAAAAACTTAAAATCAATTTAGTATTGACAACAAGAGTGTTTTTCGTTATTAACAACTAAGTAAAACTAACTTACATTTAAATTAGTTATTTCAAAAAAACTAATATAAAAAAAATGATTATAATTATTTTATATTTTCAAGGATTGGAGTCAAGAATGTACTTTAAAAACCTGTCTTTTTACAGGATCTAATACATTTTTTGACAGAGACGTTAAAATTTAAGTTTTGAGTTCTCAGAAAAATTCAATATATCTTACATTTATAAATGTGTTCAACTTTATCACTTAGTAAAAAAAAAAATATTATTATTATTACCAAGAATTCTGAATGCTTTGGTTTTTATATGTCTACCAATCTATAAAATATTTTGCAAAAAGCGCAGGAGCTAAAAATGCAGGTCTGTATAGATTCCTATCTTTCGATTCACATATTCTTCGAAGACCAATATGTTTGTTGGAGAAAATGTAGAAACGATGTTTATTAAATTGAAAATTGGTTGGAGCCCTTTTAAAATGATGATTGCAATAAGTTTATATTTTAAAACATATTTTTAAACAAAATCATTATTTTAAAACCCACCAGTTCAGAGTTCATATAGAATTCAAAGTAGCTAAATAAATCTAACAAAAAATGTTAAAAATTAAATATTTAGTTTCGAACTATTTGAATCAGTAACATTAACATTCAGTTACATAAATATAACCTAATCCTTAAAATCCGAATAATGAAATGATACATGAAAATAATTAAGAATTAATATTTTAATAAGTTCTAATTATTTTTTTTCTAGCAGGATGCTTTGTTTATATCAATAAATTATTTTAAACAGTTCAACTTTGTTCCAAATCAAAAAGAAACTACGATTTTATGCCTGACTAGGAAATTTAAAATATCGTCAGCACAAATTAATTAAACTTTAAATTAATTAACTCTGGGTAAAACTTTAAAAGATTTAGATCAAAAGCTATTAAAGTTTTTTACTTTTTATTTGGGTTATTGTACATATTGTAAAATTTAAATAAATGCTTTGATCTTCCTCCTCTCATCAACANTTTTAAAAAAAAAAAAAAAAAAAAAAAAAAAAAAAAAAAAAAAAGACTTTTAATTGATAAAAATAAACTCTATATTTGAAAGAAATCATTTAATAAGATTTTAGAACAATTTCATTTTTGATTCCAAGTAAAACATTCATGTTCGAAATAAATTATTTATTCGAAATTGAATTATTTACATACTATATCCCATAAAGCGAATTAATAAAATATGATTAAAAAAGAGAAAATATAAAGATAGAGCATTTCTATATTTTTCTGTTCCCTAAATATTCCTTCAAACTAAAAAAAAGAAGAAAAAAAATTTAAAAAAAAACTAACCAACCAAAATATTTAAAAACATATTGGTAAAGTATTTTATTTATAACAGTTAATTTTAATTTGAAAATAGTTATAACAACTCACAAGGGACGTCTTCAAAATAGATACATATACCACACATACATTTCGTGTATTTTATGAAATTTTACTATTAATCTTAACTCTTTTAAAAATGATAAATATAAATTTTTATTTGCAAAAGTCAACCTAAGTTAAATACGAAGAAATGATTTAAATTTAAAGCTATTATTAAAGAAACAATAATATTGACCTTTACAAAAGAGGAAGGACAAAATTTAATGACGCTTTCAATAAATCGTCCCTAAAAAGAATAAAGGAACATAAATATTTACCTATAGGGGGAGACCCTTAGTAAACATATTCTTGAAACTTTCATTAAAATATGCTGCAGGGCTAAGAAAGGACTGCTCTTATATTGTCGGATGTATTTATGAAAATTGAATTCACTGTGTTTGAACAATCTGCCAAGACCTGGAAAGTAAAACGAAAAAAAGTGTTAAAATAAAAGTTTTTCTTTCATAATGGAGTGAGAAAAAAGAGAAATAAAAATATTTTATACTTAAAGAAGCCGAGGCGCATTTAAAAATTTGATTTATGTAATATAGAAATAAAATTTTTAATCATGATAATATGGGTAAACGTACTATACATTTTCGTACTATTGTCGAGTTTAAGTATATAATGGGGTTAAATAATCCCATAATTTAATAAAACTAACTTCTGTCTAGTGGTAAAACAAATATAATACTAAATTGTTTTGTTTTAAATTAGTACAATTAAACAACTTAGCCATTTTTTTTATTAAACAGCGATGCATTTCTTTTAAATTAAATTTGATGTTAAATGACACAATAACAAGTATACAATGATGTATAAAAGTATTGAAAGAATTTTATTTTTATTTATGCTTAATTTTATAACTGAAAATTATGAAAAAGGAAAGTAAAATAATGTATATAACAAATTATTATTTGAATTTTTCTAACTGAAAAATATTTTTTTCCATCAACCGAGTCGATTTTTAAGAAGAAAACTATAAAGCTAAGAATAATGTACAAATATTTATTATTTGAATCAAATATAATTCATTTATAATAACTTAATATTTATGATTTAATAAAAATATACTTGATATTATTTTATCACATAAAGTAACACACAATTTGTTATAATAATAAAGAAGTAATATCAGCGAGTTTTACACATACACTTTACTGCTACATTAAATCTTCAAATTAAACAATTAGAGTATAAACGAATTAAAAAATGTGATTTTTTTAGAACAAATATGAGCAAATTTACGTCATAATTTGAAACAAATTTTCAACTATTTGAAGTAAAATATAATCGAAAAATAATTTCGATTTTAAAACAAAAATTTAAACTGCAGAATAGGAAAATTTTTTTTTTAAAAATTATGCTTTTAAAATCATTTCAGAAAATTATCATACATAATTTAGACATAATTATAGTCAAAGCATAGTTAAGAGATAAAAAGATTCTTTTGAAAGTTGTAAATAACTAGTCGCCTTTGGCGACAAGATTGGCCACCTTTGATTTCAATTTTAATTATTTTCAAAAGATACCCACGATATTGCCTAAGTTTTATGTAATAATTTTAAATCTGTCCGGCGGCAATTAAATCACACAAACCACCATAAATATGAGTTCGAAATATTACAGCACTGCAAGCAGCAGAATTATTACAAATATTTCCATCTTTGTCGTGAGATAAAATAAAAATAAAAAACTCATCCCAATGCTTCATTACGTGCTCTCGAGCCATAACTTGAGTATCGTATAATTTATATATGCTACAGAATTGGTCGAAAAAGGCAAGCTCTGTCACTAATAATTGGTAAAACAGTGTGTGATATCATCGAACCGTTTAAAATTTCTACAGCCATCTTAGAAAGGATCAAAAATTAATTCCTTAATCATTTACATAAGCGAGATATTAAAGAGCTTTTTATCAAAATTAGTGTGAATTTCATAACCAGAATTAAAAATGTTCTTAACTCTTTATTATTAAGAAGAAGAAGGATACAATTATAGTCGACCTTATTATTCATCTTTTTCGCAACTTAAACACATTTATTTCTATGTTAGAAGATTTCCATAGGAATTTAACATTCTGATGACGACAGTTATTTAATAGATCTTACATTGTAAAATATATAAAAAATAATGAGAATGATTCGTGTTTTGCAACTGACTTAGCGTTGAAGAACACCTATAGGAAAACTCATCAGTTAAGCTCCTTAAGATGACAACTAATATGCTGATTATAAAGAAGCTTTAAAAAGAATCTTAGATTTGCAATCACACATGCATGTAGCACAATTTTTGTTTTCGTTCAAACTTATGTTTTTAATAATCTTTGAAACCAAGGCGAAATAAACAATATTTATTTTTAAATGCAAAAAAGTGTTCTGCTCGATTTTTCAGAGACTCTTAGGGTACCTTCCTTGAATGATGAATGCTTTAATATCCATAGAATTACCGGTGAACAGTAAGAAAAAATTCTGTATGCATCAAGATGAAACAGATTTCGTAGTAAAAAGAATTCTCAATCCATAAAACGAAACTAAAAATTCCTACATTAAAAAAAAACTCCGGATCAAATTACTGAGTAAAGAACCGGTATTTTAGGCGCAACATCCTTAAAATCCATTTTACCATTAACATTATTAAGTATTTCCTACAGTCTTTTTACAATCAAATTTATTTAATTAGAGCAATATTCAATTATTTTAAGAAAATTATTTACATAAAAATTAAGGTACACCAGATATTTGTTCCGTAACATGTTGTGGTAAGACGATTTGGAAGATAAAAATAGGTTTTGTGGCAAGAAGTACCGGCATCCTGAGTGCCGGTACTTTTTACTGTAATTTGATCCGGAAAATTTTTATAGTGACATAACATAACGGACATAAATAATTTTACAGGTAAATTAATCAAATGACAGGAGACGCAGACAATTGAGCTAGAGATTTCCGACAAGAGAACAGTTTGAAAGAACGAGGATGAAGCAAATGGTTTCTTAACCACAAAAAATCCCAAGATATATCTCATCATAAATGAAACGAAATCCGACGAGATATGAAGAAAACAATTCGAAAGTGGGCTTGAGACATCGAAGACGGGCCCTCCCGGAAGCAGCATTAACGTCATAAGACACGAAAGAAAACTGGCCCATAACATGGCATTAACCTCCTCTGAGTTGCCACTCAACTCCCTATGTCGATGGAAGAGAAGGGATTTCTTTTCTTATTACTAGACCCTCTTTTCTCGCGATAAGAAGCAATGGCTACTTTTCCTCTCTGTCCATCGGACCACTAACATCCCGTTGGACAATGGTCAACGTCAATGGACATCATGTTTTTTTCTTCTTCCTCTTTCCTTCTTCTGGTCCATTCTTTTTGGAATAAGGTGGAGACACTCGGAGATGACAATGTCCTTTGTGCTTCTAGCTCTCATAGACCAATCTTCCTATTCAAGAAGAAGTAGACTGTTTGTTCATTTACTTCTCAAAAAAGATTTTTTTTTCTTCTTATGTTCAATCCAATATTTTATTTGGATGTTATCCAGTTTTGGAAGAAAGAAAAAACAAGCCTTTCATCGATGAAATGTATCAAAAATTAATTTTTCATTCGGCAATGAAATTGAAGCTGATTCACTAAAGGTTTTAGAAATTCACTTGCTTTTAGAATAATAACGCTCTGTTCTCAAAATATATTGCTATTTTGATTCGTGTTTAAATATTCTAAGTTTTAAAATAGTTAGTCTTTTCTACGTAATTATGTTTTCACAAAATAAGATGCAAAGGCTTTAGGTCAACATACATACCAAGTCACATACTTTCAAAAGGCTACATCAAACAGATTCTAAGTATTGTTTTCGATTAAGAACTTTACAAATTCCTGAGATTTCCACCAGATAATAGCACTATGCACGAAAACATCTTATTGCGCTATCATGGAAATCGTAGCATTCATCAAAAACGCTCGTCTGAACAAATTGATAATGCTATTATAATGCATCAAGTCCCTCATATATGTACCAAGATAGTAAAATTTTTTAATTGATTTATCGTGTAAGTTGACCTTAATTTTCGACAAAAAAGTAAGCTTTTTATAAAATGAACAATCCCAGGAAACTGGAACAGGAAGAAATACTTGATAATATAAAAATTTCATTTGTTTCGATTAAAAAAAATATGAAGATTGAAAAATTGAAGATTGTAAAAGTTGAATTGCTCCGATCACTCAAACCATGGCTGTATCTGAAAAACCATCAAACCAGACGTTCTTTAAAATTTAGATTAAAGGAACACGATAAATATGTCCGTGATCGAGAATCGATAAATCATCTATAACTGAGTCGTGATGGCTCAGGGGATAGAGCGCTCGCCTTCCAATGAGACAAACCGGGTTCGAATCCCAGTCGATACGAATTCCGCATCCGGATTGCACCGACCACAGTGCTGACGTGAAATATCCTCAGTGGTAGACGGATCATGTGTTAGAGTCCCCTTGCCGTCAGGCTAACCATGGGAGGTTCTCCTGGTCATCCCCTCCATGTAACGAAAAGGCGGGCTAGCTCCATCGAAAAGTCCTCCACAAAGGCAAATTTCCCTCAATACTTGAGCAGTTTCCTTGTTTTCTGGATTCGGTTCAAAATTACAAGGCTGCGGAGTTGAACATTAGTAGTCGTAAACCCATAAAATTGTGTCGGCTGTTTAACGACGGTTATAAAATAAAATAAAATCATCTACAGATGTAAATTGTTACAATCTTAGGCATACATTTAATTTCGCTAATACTAAAATTCCATTACCATTTCCACCCGTGTCACATCAGTTTTCATGATGCCCAGAAATCTTGTTTCATTCATATGAATGCCTATTTACTTGTCACACCACCTCTCATTCTTCAAGGAAATGCACTTTGCCATTATTTTTATCTTTCGGCTACCGTGGTTGTTTTTTTTTTTAATTATTATTTTTCCTTTTTCGCTGACTACTTAACATTTTCTGCTTCATTCTCGGCTACACGGTTTTCCCAGTTATGTTTTTCATTCTTATTTATTTTTTATTTTTAAGTGACATTACGTTTTCGATTTCAAATCTCTTTTTATTTTCCCCATTAATGTCCTTTTCTTCCTTTATTTTCATCATCCTCTGGAGAGTTTTAAAAATGGGTGTCTAGTTTTGAGCTCTCGAAACAAGTCGATTTTTGTCTCTTTCATATTTTTTTGAAGCAAATAAAGTTTTTATACCATCAAGATTTGCATGCATTTGTATGCCAGTTGGCTCCCGAATTCAAGTTAGCTGTAAGTATTATTTTCAATTCTATAATCCGAAAAAGATTGCGAGTAAAATCTTTTTACTCGCAGTTTTCTTCTTGCAAGGTAGCAGATAGACGCTGGTGCACTGAGCTAGTTACAGCTTACAGCGCTTGTCTAGT